TAGAAAATAACGCGTCGCTCTGATCCCCGCGATCGCCGATCGAGAAAACGTGTCCCTCGGTATCCCACGCTCCCCGTGTCCTCACACCGTCGTCACGTACTCCCGCAGCTCGGTGGCCTCGCGGGCTAGCTGGTCGTCGTTCGCGAACCACGGGTCATCGTACTTCGGCGCCTCCTCGCTGCGAGCCCTGCTCGGGGCGCGGCGTTCGCGCGCCCGCGCTCTCGGCACCTCCTCGCTCAACGACCTCTTGCCGATCCCCATCTGGACCGGCACCTCGAGCAACGCCTTCGACCTTGTCAGCTGCGGCCTCTGGCGACCCTTCGCCTCCTCGCTGGCCGCCCGCACGATCACCGTCGGCGGGGCGAGCCTCTCCTCCACGGGCGGGTGGTGACCGCTCTCCGACCTGGCCCTGAACACCTTCTTCTTCGACAAGCCGCGTATCTTCGACAGGCTCTTCCTCTGGACCGGCTGCGGCGGTTGCGGCGAGTGCTGCTGTTGGGACCTCTGCCGCTTCACCGGCGAAGCTGGAACTAGAGGCGACCAAATTGGTGTGGACAGTTCGGCTGGTGGCGGTGACTGGACGCGGGGCGGTGTTCTCTCCGGAGATTCATCCTTCCACCCACCTTGATAAATCGGGAACGCGGACACCTGGTTCAGGATGCGCCACCGGAAATCTTCGTCGTCGCTGCGGCACGGCGTCGCCTCTGGCGGCGGATGATGGGTGGGCGTCACGTTATGGAACGGCGACCAGGACTTCGCGTCCTCGGGCTCCTGCGTCGCGTAGCCGCCGGCTGGATCGGCCGACGGCGAGCCGTCGTACGGCGTCCACTTGATCTCGCTGATGGGCTTCGGCTCCCGCTTCTTCACGCCGATCGTCGGCAGCGGCGAGTCGTTCTCGTACGGCGCCCACTTCGCACCGGTGATCGTGATCTCGGGCGAGATCAGCCGGCGCACGATCCTGTTCTCCAGCTTGGTGACCTGCCGGGGGTCCGGCTCCGGTGACATGCTCCGCCGGATGCTGTACTTCGGCCTCTCCTTCAGGCTCTTCGACTTGAACCCCTCCGTCGAGTCCTGGCTCCGCCATCGAGGCTTCTTCTCTTCCACCGGCAGCGAGAAGTGCGGCTTCAGCGCCCACTTCGGTCTCGGCTTCTTGCCTTCCTCCGGGCTGGCTACTTTCTCCTTGGCTCCCCATTTCTTCGACGCCTGGCTCTCCACTCGCGCGTGCATCCGTTCCAGCTTCGGCCTGTCCCTGGGCCGCTCACGCGGCAGCCTGGTGTCCTCGCTGACGTGCCTCTTCAGCTCTGGCTTCTCTGCAGCTGGCGGCGCAGCTTGCTCCGATGGTCCTTCGACGTTCAGCGACGCGGAGTAGTACAGCTTCCTCTCCGGTGGTGGTAGGGGCTCCCTCTTGGGCTCGATGATGGCGGGAGGCTGTTGTTGCTGTGGTTGCTGTTGTTGCAATTGTTGTTGTTGTTGATGTTGTTGTTGCTGCTGCTGCTGCTGTTCCTGTTGCTTCGGCTCGGGCTTCTTCTCCACAGGCTCTACTATGGTAGGCGGCGGCGATGGAGACAGGGTCTTCGATTTCGGACAAGTGCACCTCGGCTTCGGGTTCGGCAGGACTTCCGGTACCTGGAGGAACCTCGCCTCTCGGGCCATCCTGGTGTCGTCGCTGCTGTGCTTCCTGAGGTCGTGCATCGGCGTCTGCAGGTAGTCCGGCTTGACGGACCACTTGTCGGTCTCCGCGCTGTGGTGTTTCCTGAGGTCGCCGCGCTGGACCTCGTGCGGCTTCTTCTCCTCCGGCGTGAGGCTGTGGTAGCTGCATTTCGTCTTCTTCGCGAGGTCCAGGTCGGTGCTCGAGGTGTGCAGCTCCCAGCGGAACTCGTTGCCCTCGGTGACGCGCTTCTTCAGGTCCCAGATCGCGTCGTCCGGCGACAGGAAGCTGCTGTCCGCCCATCTGGTGTCGGTGCTGCGGTACTTGCGCAGGTCGCCGCGCTCCCTTTCCGGCGGCCGGGGTGCCTCGGCCACGTCGCAGCTGCAGGTCCTCTGGGTAGGCGTTCTCTGGGACTCCAGAGGGGCCGGCTCGATCGCGTCCAGATCCTCGATCATGTACGAGATCTCCTCCCGACGCCTCTGGCCGCAGGACGGGCATCGTCCGCTCGGCTCCCCCTCGTCGCGGCTAGGTCGATGGTGATGGTGATGGTGGTGATGATGGTGGTGTTGCTGTTGCTGTTGTGGCTGCTGCTGCTGTTGCGGCTGTTGCTGCTGCTGTTGTTGGTGAGGCTGTCGAGGCAACGTCGAGGTCGAGGTCGATGCAGTGGGGTCAAGCTGCGAGGGCAGCTCCTCCTCGTCGTGACGGCCGTCGTCAGAGTGTCGTGACGTCGCAGCCGTGCCTGGCGATGCGCACCAGCAGGTGTGTGTAGCTCCGTCAAGCCGCCTTGGTGGGTACCGCGACTCCGGAGACGACGAGGCTCCGCTCGAGGCCGCTACCAGGCAAACTACTTCGACTTCCGGTACCGTAGGCCTGTTCAATCATTTCGTTCGTTTCAATGGTTAGTTCTCTAACTTTACGTCTATTTTATTATACTGAAAGGGATCGTTCGATAGGCTACGGATGTTAGGGGGTGGTCGAGGATAGTACCTTCAGCTCGGTGAAGATCTCGGTGAAGAATCCAGGCTCGCTGTTGATCCGCAACATCTCGGCGCTCAGTCGGTTCACGATCAGCAGGCACCTGTCCCAGAACTTGTCTTTGTTGTCCTCGATGAGGAACGGCTTCAGCGGGTAGCTGATCTCGTTGCCCATGTAGCTGTAGCTCAGATACAGGCACGTCAGCACTGTCGCCTGGAGCTCCTTCTCGGACGCCTCGTCGCCGTCGACGAGCTCCCTCACCAGCATGTAGACGAACACAACGTTGGCGGGATTCATGAACGCGACGTCCTGTTGAGAAAATTACCACTCTTAGAATATCGTATCATCCCCACTCGTCTAACTAGATCAACGTCCAACTACATCCCAGTAAACTCTTTTCAGCTCGTACTATTACACCTGCTCCTATCATCGGAACATACGTTTATAGTTTCCATTAGAAAAAACAACTGTCTATCGTAACTCTGCAATGATATGATAATAATCCTCGATCCAATATGTTTCCCCATAAGTCTCCAAAGTTCCTATTCATGAACCGTGTCCATTATAGACGATTCTCGAACGTGCCACGTAATATTGCACCTGTTCCTATCATCAGAACATGCATTCCTAGCGTCCATTAGGAAAAACAACTGTCTATCGTAACTCTGCAATGATATGATAATAATCCTCGATCCAATATGTTTCCCCATAAGTCTCCAAAGTTCCTATTCATGAACCGTGTCCATTATAGACGATTCCCGAACGTGCCACGTCACAGCTGGCATCGGCCGACACAGGACTCCCGGAAACTTCAAAGAAGACCCAAACGAAAATCGAATTCCGCGGAGAAAGACGACTCGGGCGCATTCCTGCCGAGGGGGAGCGCATATGCGCGCGTGCAGGGTAGTCCCGGGTGCATTCAGGTGAACCGAAGTGCTTCTTCTTGTCTAACAGTGGGACGTTGCCGGGCAGAAAGGGATGATTCACGCGCGGTGTCGCGTTACGTGCCACGCTTGCGAAATTGGAATCGGCATTGTCGACGGCGCGCGACCGCGGTCGATGCATCGATTGCACCAGGGTCTTCCTTTCATTGGAAACCGCCTCCCGCCGCCTCCGCCGCCACCCCCCCGACACGCGTCCTTTCACCGTCGCTCGAATTCACTCGCGAGAACCGGGAAATTCCTGTCCCGGCCCGTTTCGTTTCGCGTTTAACGTGGGCGGCCGCACGTCCGTTCGAGGCTCGGACAATTGCGGCCGTGTCCTCGAAGTCTCGAACGAATGTCGAACGATCGACCGATCGAGAGGGAGATTTCTAAAGAGAGAACCAACGTCCGGGACCGACTTCCCCCGCCCGCGGTGGGCGTTGTTCCGCGCTTCTGACGCCTGCCCATCCTTTATCGGCCTCTGTCCGGTCACCTTGCTCCAGAAACCGAGTCCTCCGAGTCATTAGCGAATTAGGACGCGGGCCACGGTTTCACGCGGCGTGCACCACCGGTGGGACACGGTTCAATGCCACGTTTCAACGCGTGCGGCAATGAATATGTAGTTCGTTAACCGTGTCTCGCGAGTATACTCATTTGTTTTAACCCTTTGCACTCGAAAGTTCTGCATTAAAAATTTTCTATGTTCCTCGGTGCAATATGGATGACATTCTTTGAAAGTAAATTGCTAGGAAAATATACATAAATTAGGAATCAGAGGTATTTTATTTTAACATTTTGAGATTTTATGATTTTACTATATCGAATTGAGTGACTGAGAGGCGTCTATCGAGTACAAAGGGTTAAATTTAACTATTCATAACTGTATAGTAAAAACGTAAACATTTTGCGCAAATAAACTCCGTTTCTCTATTTATATAACGTCGTAATCGAAATGCGAAATATCCATTGCCATTTAGAACACGTCATAATATCCCCATAATGTAAATAAAATATAACCACCATATGTTCGGCTCTACACCTTGCAACTTTCATGTGGAGCATTCTTTTGTTTCGCTCATACTTTTCCAGTTATCGATTTTTCTCCAGGAAAGTTAGCGGTACATCAAAAGTGTCAAATATCTGAAGCCATTTTGAAAGTACCCATTTTGCTAATTTTTGTATTTTAATACACATTAGGCGATCCCTCTCCACGAGGGACTCCCGAAACAAAGTTCCCCGGCGGCCTGGTTAAATCGATTTGGCAGCCAGAAAAATTAGCCGCTCATAGTCGACGGTCAATTTACTCGTTAATAATGTCAAGAATTTCACGAACCTCCCCACTAGACGGAGAAAAACAGAAATTGCAGCGCTCCAGCGGGTCACGCCGTTTAGCGGTGTCCGCTTTAACGCGAGCACAAAGGACTCTACCGGCGGCCGCGTCCATCGCCGCTGCGTTTCACCCACTTATCTCGCGTGCACACCTAATTTGCACCCGGACACGCCCTCTCTCATTCGATTAGTAGGTGCCCGGACCAGGTTAAGTGGGCGAGCGTGTTCCCCGAGTCGCCGGGATTCGTAGGAACGTAGAGAACGGCGGCCCAGCGGTTCCTATCTTGCAACTTTGCAGTGATCACCGACGATGCCACTAGAATTCTGGAAAATATCTGCCATTCCCGCTGCTAGCTCGCTTCCGAATGGCTCACGGAGTAGACCGAGAAGCGAGGAAAGTAAAATAGAAACTAATCTGCCACTACAGTACTCCACAAATTAGACATCTGGGTTTTCTAGAGCAAAGTTACCTCTTGCTCGATGCAACTCGCAACACATTCGAACTTTAACTATCCAATAAGAAACACTGAACAATACTACTGCTTTCAAAGTATGAAAAGATACTTTTCTAAAGATATTGACTCTCTAATAGCATCCTCCTTAATTTACACACTGATACAACTATTCCATAGTTTCGTGTTCCAACATTCTCGAACACTTTACTAATGAAGTCAGCATCTCGAAGGTATATCAAGTTCTGATTGGTACCCGAGCATCCAGAAGTACTATATTAATCAAAACCCACAATCCCAGTGGGCAAACTCTGGTGTACTTGAAAAATTAATTGACCCAGCGTACCGAAAGCGAGGTTCCGCCGTCGAAGCGCTGACTTTGATCCTCCGAGCGGCCCCGAAGCGTCGTCCAATTAAGACGAATGCTTTTGTGGTAATTAAAACGCACGGCGTTCGATTATAGGCCAGCCTTTTCTCGATCGGCGGCGGTTTCTTACACGCGTGGCTGCGTTGACGGCGAGAGCCCGCGATGACCCGGGAGGATCGATGCTCCCGATACGTTCTCCAGCCTGCGAGGAATTTCGCTGGCCGATTGTTGCATCGGCGTGCACGCGTCCACCCTCGTTAACCGCCGCGCCGCCTTTTTTCACGCGGATTACACGGTATACAGCGTCCGCACGGATGAACGCGCCGCGATCCGACCGGGACGTCCAGGAATACATCTAGGGACGTCGACTCTCCGATGAAACGTTGGTCGCACGTAGCGCGACGCGTTAGAGGCGACGAGGAATTATTGAATTTGCAGGGTATATGGGAATCTAGGTGGGAATTGGAAGAAGCATGGAGAGGCTCGACCCTTTGCACTCGGGAGGTGGCTCTCAGTCGTTTGATTTTGTATAGTGAAATGATAAGATCATGTATAATGTTGTAGTAGATGGAAATTAGTGTGTCGAAAGCAGAGAATTATATTCTGCATAATTGCATCAATGAAAATGGACTTGAGTTGTTAGGAAACAGTGTGTTAAATATTCAATTTCCGTCGGATCGACGTAAGTCTAGTGTTGAATGTATTGTAAACTATGATTAGTGGAATATTTCCCTAGTTTGAATATATCTTAAACTTATACGATCACAGGTTTACTTCCCAATTGAAATGCGTAAACTGTAAGAAACAAGAAATCCTCGTTACATCCAAGTTACAAGGTAAATATTACTAGAACAAACAGCGAAGTAATTATTTACATACTATAATTAACCCCTCCTAGCAAACTAAAGAATAACGAAGAATTCTAGTTAAACGTTTCAACACTAACACTCGAAAACCTAAAACCGGAGTTAACAGGTTCGACGCAAGTGAACCCAACACTACAACCAACCAGAAAATTGCCAATAACTTCAAGAACAATCAATTTTACTCGTGCTTCATAAATCTTCGTCAATACTATCTACTTCCAAAGTTCCGAGCCCTTTCTCCTCCACAAGCAACCCCAGTATCAGCCGCGTAAAAATAAAACATCCTTCCTCAACCCCTAACTACACATCAACATTTCAGCAAGCTGAGATCACATTCAAAAACAAAATTCCAAACAAATAATTCAATTACTCAAACGCCATATCAGCACGCAGTTTCCTTTTATCAACCTGTTAACCGTGGAATTTACTTTCGAAAATCTCTTATACGCGCAATAAAATAAGAACATGAACTAAAGCAAACTAAAGATGGATTACGAAAATTAAGAAAATTAAATTTAGAAAACTCAGAAATTTATCGTTGAAAGAATTAGTAGCATTTCAAGCTTCAAGACGTGTATACTCGTCAAACGCAGTTAACTGGTTAACCTTTGCACTCGAGAACATTTTTCTCAACAAATATTCATTTTCTGATGAAGTATCACTGATACTTTTTACGACACAAAGAAATACCTTGCATAAATTGAGAGAAATATTTTATTCGATATTGCATGTATCCGTACATCACACAAAATTTAATATTGAATTTCCAACTTTACAATGTTCTTGTAATTGTTCGTTTAAAATGGTTACTTCTTTAACTTTTCTACTTTATTATACTGAGATGGATCGTTCAATATGCTACGGAATTTCCAATTTTACAATGTTCTTGTCATTGTTCATTTAAAATGGTTACTTCTTTAACTTTTCTACTTTATTATATTGAAAGGGATCGTTCAATATGCTACGGAATTTCCAATTTTACAATCTTCTTGTGTCAAACCAAATGGAGACTACAAGGCGCCTCTCGACTGCAAATTAATTAATCAATTCACACATAAGCTTCACCTGCTGCTTCTTTATATTCCAAAGAATCTCCCCCAAAGGGTTAACGCAGTCCTACACAGTTCGCCATAAGAAACGCCAGCGACATTTCTACCGCCTCGCAACGTTCGTCATCGGTTCCCACACTCTCCGTGCGCTCCGCGAAAGAAGAAGACGCGCCTTCGAATAGAAATCGTTGAAACGAGAATACCGCCGGCGAACGTGGGAGGAGAGGGATGATCCGATGATCAGAAACCGCCCCGGTGGTAGATAAAGGAACAAGAGGAGCCGAGGGAAGTTACGAAACACGTCGCTCGTATTATTAGCGGCG